CACGATGAGATGATAAGAAAGAAAATGAGGAGTGTGAACGAGGATGTTCAAGCTGAGCTACGAATAATGAAATAAAAAAGATAAGTACAACAAAAGTTAATGAGTTTATTTGTTAGAAAATAGAGTAATATTAAAGATCAAAAAATTTGATTATGTTGGCCCTCTTGGAAGGTCCCGGTTGAGGTTCGTCTGGATCTGGATCGACGTATTGAGATAGCATATTCCCATCAGGGGATGTTGATGAATCGTCGACGTCTTTTGCCCACAAGTCATCCTCTATTGCAACATCGGACAGATCTTCGCCTACTAGGATATCTACTACTACAACATCAGGTACATTGTCACAAGAGGCCCCACTGCAGTGCCTGCAGACTGATGAGCATTTAAATCCTGACTTCCTGCAGCTGCACGCGTTTTCACAACCCTTCGTGCAGCCGCAAGAGGTGTTGTGGGGCTGCATCTCTGGTCATCATTTTGGGATTGAGGCCTCGTGGCGTGGATATCCACCCCCAGGAGAGAGGGTTCAGTGTGACTCCCAACCACAACTGGACCTGTTAGGAGATTGTACATGAGAATAGAAAATGATGAAATATAATATGTACCTGAGAGAAAACCAATACTTATAGTCCAATAAATGAAGGACGAAAAAAAAGGCAAAGTTAACGTTAATTACGCACTATTTTCATCTTCCGGTTGGAAGTAGCTTTTGGTAACTCATTGAACATGAGACAATGTTTGACTGGAAAACGCGTGCGATGGCGGAGAAAATGGCCCCAATAGACCAGGAAAATAGGTTTTCAGCCAATATCTCCTAAAATATGGCAGTTAGAGATTTTCGGTTCAGATAAAAATTGAAGTTCAGTTAATTTTCTACTAAAATGATCCTTATCATTTTTCTCGAAAATTTGCCCGGTTTCGAGAAAAACGGCACGAAGCGCACCTCGAATAATGAGCTTCTGTGTTGTATGCCGGAGAGCACAGTCCGTGTATTTACACATCGGCGTGGGGACGAATTATTCAATAACTTTGTTGAAAATGCATATTTTCTCATGATTCAAAGGTCATGTGAAAGAGGAATTCTGCTGCTATCATACCCTGCGTGGCCGCATGGTTTGTAGCAGACGACCTGAGCGCCACGTAGAGCACACACGCGGCGATCGACGGAGGAACGAAAGTAATAAATTATAGCGTGTACATTTAGATATACTGGTTTTTTGACGGGATATCAAAGGTATGACTTATATACATCGATGGAAAGGTGGGATTTCCCCCGTTACACTAGTTAAGGTGTTAAAATGTTTGAAATAAAGAGCACGGAGAAAAAAAAACACCGAAAAAAAAGTTTCCTTGACCCTGCTTTGTCTAATTTTATTGAAAAATGGACGACTTCGTCTAAAAAAGTAATTGCACAATCGAAAAGTAGACCTTCTTAGCTTTCAAATGATGTATCATAGAAACCAATCGGATCATGTATAAATTTTTAATTGATGGTTGTTCACAAAATTTCCCCGCGCTCCAAAAACAGTCAAAAATTGGGATTCAATAAACAAAGATCAAATGAAAATTTAAAAAAATTAGGGTATACAAATTTCAGGGATGACTCATAATCAAGACCATTCTGAGTAAATTAGTGCAATACAAAAAAAAATAGGAACAAATTCCTGGCGAGGTCAAAATTGACCGGGAGCAGAAAGTTTGACCCATTTTCCGATATGGCCAAAAGAGTCAAGCGTGACTCAATTTACAGGGTATGATAGCAGCAGAATTCCTCTTTCACATGAACATTGAATCTTGAGAAAATATGCATTTTCAACAAAGTTATTGAATAATTTGTCCCCCCGCCGGTGTGTAAATACACGGACTGTGCTCTCCGGCATACAACACAGAAGCTCATTATTCGAGGTGCACTTCGTGCCGTTTTTCTCGAAACCGGGCAAATTTTCGAAAAAAATGATAAGAACCATTTTTGTAGAAAATTAACTGAACTTAAATTTTTTTTTGAGCCAAAAATCTCTAACTGCCCTTTTTTAGGAGATATTGGCTGAAAACCTATTTTTCTGGTCTTTTGGGACCATTTTCTCCGCCATCGCACGCGTTCTCCAGTCAAACTTTGTCTCAAGTTTAATGAGGTACCAAAAGCTACTTCCAACCGGAAGATGAAAATAGTGCGTAATTAATGTTAACTTTTTCCCTTCATTTATTGGACTATTATTATATGTGATGGCTCTACAACCAGGCGCCATTTGCTAACTAAAAAGTCCCGTGGTTTAGATTGCCTAAAAAGTTTGAGAACGTGCTACAGGTGGGTCGCATTCGTGACTTCACACGAACAGTACTAGCACACTCCGTCGGAGGTAATTGAAACTTCATCCCGCTAGAGTATATTCGAGTGACGCCTAAAACAAGTTCGAAAAAAAATATAAACTTTGAGAGGCTTAATCTCGAAAACTATTGGGTCTAGAGATGTATCATTATATAATATTGTGGCAAATTTGATCTGCTTGGAAAACGTCCTGAGAGATTTTTTTTCAAAAACTAGTCCTTCAGGGTTATAATCGCCAAAATTCGAAAAAATTACGGTTTTTTCGCGGTTTTTTCGATTTTTGACAAAGTTGCGTTCGGTGCTCGAGGTCACAAACTTCGGGTCGATTCTGTTTGCAAATAGCAATATGGTTGTCAAGAAGATATTGCTATCATAGCAGGATTCGAAAAAGTGGAATTCTGATCATTGATTTTTGACAATATGATCTATCAATTTCAATGACATCATGTTAGCTTTCCTGCTATCTCGGCAACATCAATGTTGAGCTTGCTGTCTTATAACAAACAAGGTAGAAAATTGCAGTGGATTATTTGTTGAGTTGACTTGTGTGACTAAACTAGTTACCTTTCCTTAAAGTTTCGATTTGCAGAGGAATTATTGAAAAATTTAGAAAAAAGGTGATATAAACATAGGTTCACTTGTCTGACCAACTACTTGAAAACCTTTCCTTGACGTTTCAATTTGTAGAGAATTTATATGAGAATACAATTTCGGCATATCATCAGAGGAACCAGCAAATCCTTTGATTTGCCTGATGGGAAGATTATCAAGCGATTTGCTTCAATAAGCCAGCAAGGCTGAATCGGTTTTTTTTTTTCCAAAAAAATCACGATCATTTCCATCAGTCTTTTGGTTGTTTTCCTATTTCGGGGACATGATTGATTACTTGCACCACTTGCACAACGAAGACCAAATTCAGCAAATGCAAAAAATCTGTCAATTTGAATAATGTAATGTTGAAAAATGTCAGTGCACGACAGACTAATTTAAGAGGTTAGATATAAACTCTTCTTCATAAAATAATGGCAATAACGGTACCTATTACTTAACGAATGAGTTAGAAACGGTGTTGTCAGCTCAAAAATTCTCCAATTCCCAACAATATTGCTATCACTCAAACTAATAACCAATCTTGCAGTTTCTGTCCAAACAGAATACAGAATAGCCTAGCAATATTGCTATACATTATGATTATAAAAATATTGTTATCTCAGCAATGTTACAACAACAGAATCGACCCGCTTGGATCATTCATAAAGGCCGGGACACACATATCCGCGCCGAGTCCGCACCCCGCATGACGGCCGTGTGTTGGACGACACACGGCGAGAAAATAAAATGATGCAATCTTCCCAGAAAATCCAGAAGTCCACACTTGTCCGCACCGTCATCCTAATTTAACACAGATGCGGTGCGGGTTCACAGAGGTTTATAACATAGAATCAGAAAAGCTAATAGAGGAAATTTGGAAGTTTTCAGTGTTGTACGACCAAACAAATGTGAAATACAGTCAATTACACAGAGCGTGTGTTGAAGATAATTTCGATTTCGTCCCCATTTGAAGACCTCGATGCAAGAACAGGGCAACTCCAATTTTTTAAAATGTTGGGGAATGAAAAAAAAAAACAATATTTTTGAGAAACTTGAAAAACATTATGCTAAATGGTATGAATCCTTTAGAGTTACGTTAGAAAAGCTGTATTTACGTCGATACTATTTTCATTCACATTGTAGAAGTTGAAAAAGAAGTTTGCCTGTTTCTTGCCCCAAAAAGACAAAATTCTGAAAATATAGTCAAACTCGTGAAATAATTTTCCCTCTTTATTGAAAATGAAATATATAACGAGAAATATTGTGAACAAATAGTATTTTGAACATAGGATGAATCGCTGACGTTTGCTGCGTCTTGATCTTCGTTAACATTGCCAGAATTTGGGCCTTCGTCGTCAACAGTTATGATTTTGGAACATATATTCACTCCCCGAATCTCGAAAGGGCTCACTTTCACTTTCCGATGACATACTATGTATTGCATGAAACAAATGATCAAACTAAACATGCCACACACGATGGAAGACGCAGGAAGGTTTGCCGCTAATAACCTCACTCCGACATCTCTCACTACACGCGTACATTTCGGTGTTAAAATCGGGTAACTCCTGGAGTTGCCCGACTCTTGCACCTCAATTGCTCATCAGGTGAATCCTTTACCGTGTTAACTCAATAGAAGATTGTTGGATTCGCTTGATTCTTGCACCAAAAGATGCGCAAGAAAAAATTCTATATGTTGAATACAATAACGCAATTTCGGCATAAAATGAAGTTGCCCGGTTCTTGAACCGAGGTCCTCAATTAGTATCTTCTTCCTCTAATGCGAGTGCTACCATCCCTAACTCACTGCTACTGAATTTTTTCAACATCTTCAAGAAGGGCAAACTGAAAACTGAAATGCAACTGCATGCAGGCCGACATATGGAAATGTGTGGCCTCCCACCTCCATCACCGACTGCTCGGTGCGGATGCGGTGCGGACTCGGCGCGGATATGTGTGTTCCTGCCTTAAGGCCAACATCATGGACAAGTTTGCAAAAAATCAGAACTACCGGGTTTGACGTATATTACCCCCATATGTTCAGGCGACAAAATTACTGGACTAAGTATGATATTCCATGTTTCAGCTGAAAGCTGCGGTGTGCGACGACGGCCTCCACATCGCCCACGAGGTGGCCGTCAACTTCGAGACGGACCTGCCCGAATTCCGCACGCACGCGGGCGCCATCATCGACAAGGCGGACAACAGGAACGTGTCGGCGCCGGTGCTGATGTGGGTGAAAGCGTTGGACATCCTCATGGACAGACTGACATTGGACGGGGTGGATTTTTCCAAAATTGCGGCCGTTTCCGGTACGGCTCAGGTACGGTAATTCTACAGTGTGACCCATTTAAGATGGAAGCACCCTTATAGAACTTACATTTTTCAACCGATTGGAATGATTTTTTTTTTGTTAGGTAGATATTCAAAAAGTCTATTAGGACACCAAATATCATGAATAAATCTCCATTTCCAGGGCCAACTAATCTGATTTTTCAAGGTCAAAAATCTAAAAAAATTACTAGCGATTTTTTTAGAAAAAATCTGACTACACCACTGGATTTGTGACATTTTCAAATGGGTAACATGTAAATTACGTTGAAATGCGTCAATCAATAAAAAAGTTATAAAGGAATGAAATTTGAAAAATATGCCGTTTAATCAACCCATCAATTTTTATTACTGAACAGATTTCGATGAAACTGTGATCAGTAATATTTCAAGACATCCTGAATCCAGTAGAGTATACAGAATTTTCATGAAATTCCTGAACATGAATTGGTGGGTTGATTAAACGGCATATTTTTCAAATTTCATTCCTTTATAACTTTTTTATTGATTGACGCATTTCAACGTAATTTACATGTTACCCATTTGAAAATGTCACAAATCCAGTGGTGTAGTCAGATTTTTTCTAAAAAAATCGCTAGTAATTTTTTTAGATTTTTGACCTTGAAAAATCAGATTAGTTGGCCCTGGAAATGGAGATTTATTCATGATATTTGGTATCCTGATAGACTTTTTGAATATCTACCTAACAAAAAAAAAATCATTCCAATCGGTTGAAAAATGTAAGTTTTATAAGGGTGCTTCCATATTAAATGGGTCACACTGTATGTACAGAGTGGAAAGTCTAATTGGAACTAATTCTGTAACTCTATTATTCCTCCATAAAATTATCAATGGTTACATTGATTCTCCTGAAATTGTTGCTCTGATTACGCTTTCCGCAAATACAAGAAGAAACAGAAATAGTGACATTTTCAAGATACCATTCTGTAGGACAAATTGTGGCCAAAATGAATCAATGAATAGAATTATGAAAACAGCAAACACAAACAATTACCAAATTGAACTTTTCAATTCATCTTTATTGTCTCTCAGGAGAGCGATAAAAACACTTTTTTCATAATCTTCATCTTTCTATTCGTTTTTTAGCCTTCTACATTTTTTTTTGTGTTAGTCTTCTTCATAGATATGATAATATGTACCTGCTCTGTATTTTTATACTCTCTTTCTGTAAATTGTATAATTGGCTTGTCCGTTAATAAATAAATAAATGAATAAATTAAGGTTTTTCGCAAAATTCCTAAAACACGTCAATTTTTATTTTCAATGGGGCATAATTGTAGATTGTAGATTGTAGATGGGTCGTATAGGCTGAGAGACCTCTCGATCACTGCGACCTAGAAGATCTATTGTGATTATGGGGCATAATTACAAAGAGATTTGTCTATCTCTTCAATTATCTGGGGGGGTTGCAGACACCCCTAACTTTTTTTCGAAATGGAGGGGTAGGTTGATTAATTTTTTATTTGAAAGCTTGTTCAATTGCAAATACAATTCAATTTTTTTGTCACTTTTTATAAGCAATTAAATAAGGGAATATTTACTGAAATTACTTCAATGCAATAAATATTCAAAGTGTTCTCTGACAATATCCTAATCGATTTTAAATAGTGTCACGAGTAGAACATACGGTATATCAGTAATTTCGAACCATGAGGGTTTCATATAAACATAAAGTAACTCAATTCATCCGTTGACATTGGATTATAAAAACTGACCAAGGAACTCTCATGAGAAACGTGCATATCTAATAAAATGTTGTATATAAATATTGGATGTGAGGGTTCCGAAGTTAGTCTGGTCTGGGGCTACTCTTGACTTGACAAGAGCTCGTCGTTATAGTAATTATCATGTAAGTTGTTATTCGGTCTTTATATTCATTGTTGTTTATTCATATTTATCATCACTTCACCCATAATGTTTCATGCTTCAATATAATTATATTGTTATCTTTGAATGTAGTCTCGTACTTTCAGATTCCCCTGAACTATTAGTGCCTATTCGAATATTACCTCTCGCAAAATATTAAGCCAAGCATTACCCCTTTTAAATCGATATGGATGGATTAACCAACTATCATATCGTGACATGGTGGAAACACAACTATTATATCGTGGCAATAGCATTCCGAACATTTTGTAACACCTCCGGCGTTACTTACCTAATTTCGTCCCTGATTCTTTGTTGAAGTTCGGGGATGTCGTTAGGTTTAGTGGCATAAACCTTGCTCTTTAGATATCCCTATAGGAAAAAATCTAATGGAGTAAGATCGGGTGATCTTGCTGGCCACTCAATTGGGCCTCTTCTTCCAATCCACCTATTTGGAAACAATTCGTTAAGATAGGTCCGTACATTTTGAGCAGAATGTGGTGGTGCCCCATCTTGTTGAAACCACATCCGTTGGTCAAATAAGTTGGGATCCAAATTATTGGGGAATAAATTTACTAAAGAAGGAATCAGTTCTTCGGTTTGTTTCTCCGGTTACGTTTTCATTGAAGAAAAGGACCTACTATGCGATCTCCAATAATTCCAGTCCAGACGTTTGTTTTTGAGGCCTTTGGGTATGGCATTCACGCATCCAACGGAGATTTTCGTCAGCCCACTAACGGCAGTTCTCTCGATTGATGTGACCATGTAATGTGAACGTAGCCTCATCAGAATTTAATAATTGTGGAAGCCTTCGGTGGTCAAAACTGGTAAACAAGTAACTCAGAACAAACATACGAAAGACAATTGAAACAGGATCAAACAAATAATAAAAAAACATATATAAAATCGAGAAACGAAAAACAAAATTCAATTGCGCAACTTTGCCTCCTTATATCCGGTCTCGTATCTCTTCTATTTCTCGAGATCCCGATCATTAGGCTCGAATTTGGGACACCCTGTACAGTCAGGTTCAAAGAAAATGTGGAGGTATATCTCAAAAAGACAATATTTTTTTCATGGTACCCATCCTATGTTGCTTATTTCAAAAACGCCCCATTGTGTTTAAATCCAATTTTCAAAAACGCGGTTGCCAAGTTAACGGCAACATCAACGACCCGAGAGACGTGAAGTCTAATAAATGTTAAAATTTTGATTATCGATCTGACAGGAGTATCATTATCTTCTGGAGAGCACGAACGGAAATTCGTATGATGTTCGAAAAACATCGTGCGAACCTAGGGAGGATAGGGAGAGTAGGTATCACTGAGGGAAAAAATTTGTAGCCGTTACTAAAAAATTAGTAACTACAGAAAAATTGTTTAGTACGATAGGGGACAGCAAGCATTAGTTGTTGCCATGACTAATTCTGTTTTTCTGGAAACGCCTATTTGCCCCTAATGGAAAGTTTAGTTGAGTCATCTACGACGTTGTTGTGGTAACTAATAAGCCTTTTTAGGGAATAATACCAAGTTTTATTTCCCACAATCAAGATACATAGTTATGACAATTAGATTGTTAGTACTGTTTCAATATATGTTTGTTATCACAACAAATTATCCCAGTTGGGGCAATTACTCATTTCTTCTAACGGTAATAGTGAGTGTGTTGTTGCAAATTGAATATTTAATTGTGAGTGAAATGGAATCTAGTTACTATTAAAAGTGATTTAGAAACGTTTGAAATATAATTTAGTTATTCTGGCAACTTAATAGTTTTATATCAATTAAAATCAAGGCCCCATTCTAATAATAACAGTTTGTATGCCATTTTCCTTCCAATTTCCAATGGAATCGTGAACAGGAATACATCACACACCGTAAGTGCCACAGGCCACAGCTCAGCAAAAAGAGAGGGAATTATAAATATGCACCGTGTACACGTGACGTCGGTTGGACGTTTCTCACCGTCGCCCGTCGTGAACTGAACTGAATTGTGAATAGGTACCTAAACCTGATAACTAGTGACGCACAGATAACGATGGTAAACTGCGAATTATTATTTTGCCAACCAAATGCCAAATGGCTCAGCGCGAAGTGCAAAAAAACACAAAAAAGTTATTTGAAAACACACAGAGCAGTAAACCAGCAAGAACACGACGCTCCCGGCTACACTAGACAATTATTTTATTTATTTTGTCTAAGCTCGACAACCGTGCGATCTATCCACTATTAAGATACAAGTTCAAATGATGAAACAGAAAGACAAACAGATGCAAGATGCAATTTTTTCCGGTGGGTCCCGAAGAGACGCGAGGCGGTCCCGAACGACGCAGTACAACTAAAATTATTAGTTATGGCTAAACAATTTCTGCTATGAATAATAATAAACCTTTTACGATAAATGTGTCATCAGTTGTGGCAAAGTCAGCTGTTGTTAGTAACCCCAGAATGAGGTTTTTTAACCGAAATATGAAATTTTAATTGACTGAATAGACAACACTGTGATAATTCTGTCACAAATAGTATTTTTATTGATGACAAATAATTCGCGAAAAATAGAAAAGTCATTTGTAGGAAATAAGGATACGTTGTCATTGTTAATAAAATTCCAAATATTTTTAATTATCGGTACTCAAAAAATACCAACTAGACGTTTTAATTAACCAGTTTTTCTCAGAGTAGGTTCAACGTCAAATGAAATATCACTAACAAATAAGGTACCTAATAATTTTTTTTTTTCATTTCCAATACAACGAAAGGTATACTGATTATTGGTTGTCATTTCCATTCTTATTAATGATAATACCAGGATTCATAATCTCAACGTGTTTTTATTAAAAAAAGGCTTGGAGAAGTATTCGTGAATAACTGGTCTCTGAAACGCTTGTTCTATAAAAATCGCGCGTATTTTAAAGACCTTAATATCCACTAATACTTTAAAATACTATCGATACCTGAAGTATTTGTCATTAAAACTTGATCATCCTGTATTTTCTTCCCAACCAAAAGTGAATCAGAGGTTGTTATCACTATTTTGCTAATGGATTTTTTTCTTATTGAAATTATTTGTTGCAAAAATGTCGTGACTATGACTTTTTGATTCTGTTGTTGAATATTTTCATCTGTAATTATTTCGTTTAACGATGAATATGAAAAGTAGTAGGTATGAGTTTTTCAGCAACATGGGTCAGTTTACTGGCAGAAAGGTGCCGAGGAAAGTTTGAAAAATTTGAAGTCTTCCGATTTCCTGCATCAACAATTGTTGAATTCCTTTGCTGTTGCCAATACCCCCATTTGGATGGATTCAAGTACTACCAAGCAATGTCAACAATTGGAAAATGCTGTTGGAGGACCTATGGTAAGGTTTACCAATATTAAAGAAAAACCATGAGAAAATACCATCAGAATCTCAATATGATGATGAATAATTCCTCATAATGAATCATAAAATAATGTTGGTATAGAGGTCTACATCCACTTACTCATATATCATAAAGAAATACAATGATACATTGCTTTCTCTATGTGATAACAAATACTTATTTAACCAACTCAAAATACAACTTTTTGGTCTCTTGTATTTTCTTCATATCCAACTTCGATTTCGAGAAAAAAAAATTAAAGCCATTGAAATGAGTTTTTCATTATTACCGCCAAAAATATAATTGACACTTGATGTGCTGTAAGTTTAAAAAATTTGACAAATAAAAGTACCAAATTTCAACCAAATCGGTTCCAGGATATTCATGATATATTATAATTACCGTTGTTTGTTCTTTAATTTCAACGCCCTGTCTCAGAAACGAAGCAACTCCGGACATATGTGAATCTGTTTTTCTCTCTAAAAAAATACACTTTTGTAATCACACATTTTATACAATATTTTTGTTAAATCCTGTACATTTATTCCAGGAACTCGCAAAAATCACAGGTTCAAGGGCATACGAGAGATTCACAGGAAGCCAAATTGCAAAAATGCATCAAACCAAACCAGACGCTTACAGAACTACAGAGGTTAGATGAAAAGTAAACTTATATTAAATGATAATTAATAAATAAGTTCCTGCAACTTAGCATCCTACACCGTGATCTTTGGCCGTTTTCAGTAGGATTCGAGCAATTATTTTTCATCATCGCAAACTGCAATCACCCAAGTTTCATGTGATTTCTAGACATGCTTTTTAAAATGCTTCATTTCGATGAATTGATTTTTTCCTTCCTAATTCAACAATATTCACAAGTTACGATGAATTTCATCCTGCTAATGGGCAATGTATTTTCCAAGATTTACTTGAAGGATTATTATGTGTAATTTATTATACAGAGTGGGTCGCAGTCGATAGTACCTTGACGTTTACAGAGAACGGGATATAGGATCGCATTCTGAAAATTTGGTTACTCAAGTAGTTGCTCTTGATCTATTGATCTTGAATATTTTCAGCAAAGCAGCGTTGCCGCTTATACCATCACTCTCACTGCGGTGCGGTAGTTACAAAAATTAGAGAAAACAAACCTAAAAAATACGTTTTTGTAGTTACCGCAACCAAAAAATAGCAAATAAGATGTAGTTTGGAAAAATAATACAAATAACGCTTTCACAGACAGCCAAACTAAAAAAAGTTGAAAATAATTAATATATAATAAATAAATGGTGTGTCAATGTACTCACCATGTTATTCTCTTTCGAAATAACTAAAAATATGCCGGGTGCCCCATTCGGTCAAACCGGAATTGACAGGATGACAAAACAATTATTGAATAGTCAAATGATTTATATTCATGCACTAAACTTCTACACCAAGTTTCATTTTAGAAAAGAAAGTTATAGAAGTGAGCCACTTTTGAGAAACACCCGGTATACACAAGATAGAAAATTTCAGCACATTTCTAATCAATATTCACTATGTTGTGTATTCATCAACACACTCTTATTTTCTTATTTTCTACTTTTTTTTATGTGGAGGAGGAAAATGTGTATTCTGTATCTAAGCGGTGTCCCCTATTTCTAAAAACCAAGGCCTACTGGATCACATTCAGAGGTTGAAAAATCCAGAATCCACATCAGCGATTTTTTTCAGAAAAAATCTGCGTAGGATACTGCGTCGACGTTTTCTGAAATAAATCTGTAAGTTTCATGAAAAAATATTCAGCATTTACGCTTATATGAAACTACCAAAAAGAGTAATCCATACGATGACAAATGTATTTGAATTACGACTTTATTTAACAAAAATCATTGAAAAAATATTGATTTAACACACATTAATTGATTTCAGATTCTGTTAAGTCGATTAAGTCGAGAGATCTGGAAGAAAACTGTATTAATTTGCAGTCATCTGTGACTTTAGTAATTACAAAACCTACTAAATACTGTCTGTAGGTTAATCGAGGAGGTGGTATATTATAATATATCCAGATTTCATGGAATTTCCTCTCCTTGTTTCTATAAAATAAAAATATGAATATTATTTCAATACACGTAAAGTAAGGACTAATCAGATGATTTGCCCCAAAATGTCACTGCGTTTAAAGAATTTTCCGATCAGAGAGTATGAAAGAAAAATTCACTAGCTTGTCAGTGACAATTTGTATCGAGAAAGGTTTGGAGAAGAGAAATGAAGGTATACAGTGTGTCCCACTTACCATGCTCACCATGGGTATCTTTTAAACGGTGAGAGATACGAGGTCGCTTAAATGACACCAAATGTGGAGTTTGTCAAGGCCAACTATAATGTGAAAAACAATTTTGATAAAATCTATTCGTTTTTGTTTTATACGCAAAAAACAGATTTTGATCATTTCCATGTCTCCTCCGTAACTTCTTTATTTATGAAAATATTCAAATAGGAATTTCACATTCTCATGGCAGTTTTTCAAAGTGATTTCGAAACAAATATGAAATTCACACCAACTCTTCTAGAATTTGAGATATCAGCACCAACTTTAGTTTTTCGAATGTAGGTCATAGCTCACTATGACTTAGTTACAAATAACTTTTTATTCTCTTCCAGATGATATGGCGCAGTAATAGTTTTGTGTTGATAACAACGGAGTTATCGTCATTTATACAAGAACAAAATATTATTTGGAAGCCGCCATCTTGAATTTATAAATTTTAACAAAAAAATCATGATCTCCGACCTCAAAAACCCCCACCTACCAATTTTGAATGGAATCGGACCAAATCTTGTCCGCCATCTTGGAGCAGCCATTTTTTTTTAATTTCAACAAAAATTCCATAATGTATTGTCACCGAAATTATGAACACCTGTCAAATTTAAAGTTAATCGGAGTTATGGAATTTTTGTTGAAATTGAAAAAAATGGCTGCTTCAAGATGGCGGACAAGATTTGGTCCGATTCCATTCAAAATTGGTAAGTGGGGGTTTTTGAGGTCGGAAATCATGATTTTTTTGTTAAAATTTCTAAATTCAAGATGGCGGCTTCCAAATAATTTCTTGTTCTTGTATAAATGACGATAACTCCGTTGTTATCAACACAAAACTATTACTGCGACATATCATCTGGAAGAGAAAAAAAAGGTATTTGTAACTAAGTCATAGTGAGCTATGACCTACATTTGAAAAACTAAAGTTGGTGCTGATATCTCAAATTCTAGAAGAGTTGGTATAAATTTCATATTTTTTTCGAAATCACTTTGAATAACTGCCATAAGAATGTGAAATTCCTATTTGAATATTTTCACAAATAAAGAAGTTACGGAGGAGACATGCAAATGATCAAAATCTGTTTTTTTCGTATAAAACAAAAACGAATAGATTTTATCAAAATGTTTTTTCACATTATAGTTGGCCTTGACAAACTCCACATTTGGTGTCATTTAACCAACCTCGTATCTCTCACCGTTAAATAGATACCCATGGTGAGCATGGTAAGTGGGACCCACTGTATAGAAAAAATATCAAATTTTCACTTAGTTTTGGACGTTTCGGTAACGAATCTGCTCCCGTTCTCAACATAAAAAATGGATATTTGAAGCAAATTCGTATTTGTCTTGACCTTTTCCAGTTCAAATATCAATTTTTGATAATGAAAAACAGGAGCAGATTCGTTCCCGAAACGTCCAAAGCTAAGTGAAATTCTGATAATTTCTTTTCTATATACCTTTATTTCTTTTGTCCAAAACTTTTTCAATACGAATTGTCACTGACAAGCTAGGAAATTTTTCTTTTAGGCTCTCTGATAGGAAAATACTTCAAACGCAGTGACACTTTGGGGCAAATCATCTGATTTGTCCCCGCCACACGTATATTGAAATAATATTCATATTTTTATTTTATAGAAACGAGGAGAGAAAATCCCAAAAAATCTAGAATAATGAACAATACCTACTGTTGATATGATGATATGAATATTACAATATAAGAAGCAAAAAAGGGCAATTCGTCTCGTGAGGGAGGCCTCACTCACAAACTCATTCACTTCTCTGGAACACCGTAGAAAAGTTGACGATCTGGCTCTATTTTATAGATATTTCCATAGACGATGCTCTTCTGAAATATCAACAATCGTTCCTCCCTTGGCAGTCCCCGCGAGATTAACCCTTCGAGTTAAGGCTTCGCACCCCTTCGTGGTCACTTTTGAGATCTGCAGAACATCTCTTTCCAAAGACTCGTTCATCCAACGAACAGCTAGGCTCTGGAACACATTGCCAAGGGAGGTGTACCCCGAGGCATATAACCTCCAGAAATTCAAGAAGAACACCAATTCCTACCTTATTTCCCTTGTTTCTCACGATGTTCTCTGAACATTACAGGATATCCTTTTTCGTGGGAACCAGAACATGAAAAAAAAATATCAATGCATGATAAACAAATTGTCAGTGATTCAGTCAACTTTTGCGAGCAAGGATTGACGGGGGTCTTACCTTTTAACGTGTGATCCCAAACACTTTCTGAGGTCCTCAGAAAAATTTCTGCGGTCGTGGTGGAAATCGAACCCACCTACCGGCAATCTAACGTGGATAGAATACTGACGCTTCAGCTACGCTGTATATGTGGTATATTATGTTTCCATGAAATGCCGATTCCAGTGGCGTATACGGCGGGTTTTTCTGAAAAATTTTTCAAAATAAATTATGAATGTGATATAGTAGTCCTTGGTTTTCAGAATAAGTGGATGCTGGCCGCTTGGCTCCGAAATACGCCTTTCCCCCTCCACATTTTTTTAAATGACAATTTATTCTATACACCAAAGCTCCCTTTCTTGAACAAAATTATTAGTTCCTGAGATACAGTATCTCATCGTTACCCCTATTGAATCATCTGGTACAATAAATTAACAATTTTTTTTAGAGGATATCGCTGATCAGTAGCTTCCTATGCTCGCTATTCCTAGGTAAAATAGCCCCGATCGACTATTCAGACGGATCCGGCATGAATTTGATGGACATTCACACGAAAAAATGGAATCAGACGCTGCTCGACGCCTGCGCACCGAACCTTCCGGAAAAACTCGGAGACCCCGTTCCATCTTACGCTGAAGTTGGTGCTGTATCGAAATATTATGTGGAAAGATACAATTTCAACCCGGACTGTAGAGTCATAGCATTCACTGGAGACAATCCAGCGTCGCTAATAGGTACTTTATTAATTATAGTTATTCATGTATCAAGGGCGTAAAGTAGGCGTTTATGGCCTGTGGCGTGAATAATGGCCTGATGGCGCTAGCCGAGGGCCATTACACGCTGAAGGCCATAAACGCATTTTACGCACGTGATACATACAAAATTTTATGCACTAGTGGTTTATTTCCCGAGTCACAAGTAATGACTAGATTTCAACAAACTACAATTCATATGTCACTCATAAATTCAGTTTTCAAGAGAAGCGCAATGTTTATGTGTATAATCTACACATTAAAATTACCGTACGAATATCGCAATTATCGTAAAAGTAAAACTCTTCGTTCACTAACAGAGATTCATTCCTTGAGATGTAACAATATGTATACCCAGTATAAAGGAACCTAAGACGTTGTCAATTAATCTGATGGTTGCTGTCTAGCAATACATCCAAAAAACAAGCTGAAATTGTCATCTTTTCGCTAAAAACTTCAGCCAGCCAGAAACTATTCAAAGAAGGAAGTTATAGCGAAGATGGAATCGGATAAACAATATAACATGTATCATAATCATAACGATAGAATCAGCTGAGAGTTCAAATATGGGTATTCCACAAATGGATGTGTGGATATAAGGGACTTGAGAATAGCGGGCGGTAAAGTGCACTTTATGGCCCGTGGGCGATAATGGGCCCGCGGGCGGTAAAGTACTACTTTACACTCGCAAATCTGGGAGATAAAGTGCACTTTACTGCCTGCTAGTGCATAAACATGTTTTTATCAATGAACTCAATATAAACACCTGGAAGGGAGACGGCCGTTCTCTCGAATAGCACAAAGTGTGTCAGGGGCAGCTGCAACAAAGATAGCATGATTTACGGTAACCTGTCTCTTTCCTCCTCGTCTTGTTTAATGGTGGATTGGTGTTTATGTTTTCTTTTATCTAATAATTGAAGTACTTTAGATTTTTTTCTCTCATCTAAACAGGCAAGAAAGTGAAGACATAAGTTCATTGTCTTTGGTTATGTGAAATATCTATTCATTTGGCGTGTTTTGTTTTATAAAAAGGACTTAATTTGTTGGTGTGGACACTGTGAGATGATTGTTGAGAAGGTTTTGATAAGCAATGGTGATTTATTGTGTCGCCTTTGGATGCAAGAACGAGCAAGACAAAAAGAAAATTGTCATCCCATGGGTAAGTTGGATATTGTTCAGATTTTTGGAAAATATAGTTCTCGAAATGATCATCAGTTAGGTATAAAATGTTCCCAGTCTCAGAATATGTTCAAAAACTATACCTATTTTATTTATCAAAGTTGAATACTTCTATGACTTTTCCATAAACATATCAAGTAATATTATTTGTTGCAGTTTTCCATTCAGACATTCTTGAATTATGGATTGAGGCAGTTTGTAGAGAGTTTTACTCCTTCTGAAACCAGCAAGCTTTGTGGAGAGCATTTCTTAACAAATAATTATCCATTTAGACATACCATCAGGTACTGCTTGGTTTTTGAAAACAGATGCTGTACCCAGTATGTTTCGAAGGAAAATAAGAAAACTCATAGGTACCTAGTTGATTAATAATGAGAAAAAAGAATGTTGCACCTCTTCAAAATAAAAAACTATCTAGTAATTTATTTTCAGGATGCATCTGTGGACGTTCATAACTTGGGTCCTAAGGAAGACGTTTCTCATGTTATGGACTTTGATTTGCCTACGACTTCCAGCTCCCAAGTTTCGAAGTTCATCAATAAAAAAACCCAAACTGTTCCATTGGAGAAGGATATTGTATTGAGAATTGTATTTTTTCAATTTCTAATGGGGATATGTTTGTAGGCAGTGACCTAATGGAAAAATAGGAACCTATGGAAATTATGCTCAAAATGGACCTTATAGGTACTCAATACCATTCAAGAACCTCTTTTCAAATTTTTCCTATCGTTTTTCTTCTTCTTCTGATAGTGCTGAGACATTGTGCTTTGCTCACCCTGTACAATATATTGTGACATTTGAATGAAAATATATATTTTCAATTTTGTATTCATTTGAGTTCCTAATCCTCGGTAATCCTGTAAGAATAAAAATGAAATTTCATTTTTAAGTCAATAAAAAAGTCAATAATAATTTTTCAGTGATAATTGATTGCAACATTTTCCTTTTTCCTTTATGAGTATCTTTATTCAATCACGTATACTCTTGAATAAAAGCAAAAAACAAGAAAATATTTCAAATAATTCGAGCGCTTCCCATTAGCCAACATAAGATAGAAAGAGATAGGTATCCGTAAACACTGCAGGTTGCCTGAACAATATTTTTGCCTCATTCATCGTTCACAGAGGGTCCCTTCCAGTTGTTTATATTGAGTTCATTGGTTATTATGCACTAGCAAGCGGTAAAGTGCACTTTAGGGCCCGATTTGCGGACGTTAAGTTGCAGTTTAGCGCCCTAGGGCCCATTATAGGTCACGAGTAGTAAAGTGCATAGTTTACGGCCCTCTTCCCTAATAGCACGTAACCTCCTATAGGGACGTCTCTTTTTGGTACAATTATTATACCTAATAATAACATTCATTGATCCCAAGAAACATAAAATGTTTATAGAGGGAAACTTAAACATTATAACAAATATATCAAATAAGCAATACAATGAAAGATGAACAGTTCGATCAGAATCAATTGATACAAGGAGAGAGTTAAATAGATGAAATATATTTCTTCAGTTCACACTGAAATTTTGTGACGAACCTAAAAGATTTTATTCTGTTGGGTTGACTATTATAAATATTCATTCCACAAAAACACAATGATTTTTTCCGGAATTAGGTTTTTATTTTGACAGTTTTCGAATGTTCATTTTGTCTGGTGTGATGCTCATGGGTATCAGAATTGATATTGAAAGTAAGATTCGAGTGCTTTCTTTTATTTTTAGTGAAATGAATGAAAATGAAGAGAGTCAATATCTAGCAGATCCCTTCAATATCTAGCAGATCCCTTGGTTTGTATAGTCTAGATGTTGATTCCAGAAATGGTAGTATATAAATACATTTTATGACTTTATTTTGAAGATTTCAGAGGTTTCAAAACAGATTTTGCTGCAGTAGGTACCCCAGATCGATATCAGATACTGCAATTTAGAGTAACTCAAACTGAAATAAATTAATTTCAAGTATTTAAGAGGTATAAAAGACCTCAATTTGTATAATATGCCAACAATTGGAGATATTTTTTTCTGAGCAATTGAATATGCGGTGACCAAGATAGAGACTAGTCTTTTTGTAGGATTTATACAAAAATTCCCGAATTTTGAAGTATCTATTTGGTTATCAGGTATAACTCTTCACGAGATGAACAAAAAAGAAGATTTATCGAAATTGAGTGTCAATTTATGATCTTGTACCTATAATGTAATTGACGCGAGATCTTGTTCCATTTGGTTTTTTCTTGTATATTTTTTCCGTAATAAATGAGAGTTGTGTCATCGGCAAATCGTTTCAAACTCCCTTGGTATCTCAAACTTGAGATAGAAATTATATAAATCAGAAATAAAATAGTTCCGAGAATTGATCCCTGGGGCACACCACAGGATATGTCCCTTATTGGGAGTCGGACAGTTCGTCCACGGGCCAGGTACCTGTTTTAAGTACACCGATCAGTTGGACCACGACCGCTCTTCGAGCGGATTAAGGTTGTATTCTAAGAATTAAAACAATCACTGTTTTCTTAACATATATTATTTGTTATTGAGGTGAATTATAATAAGACATAATTTTTACAAAATCTTTTTGTGATAAAAGGCCATTTCTATATTCTGATATCTTAGCTTTAATAAATTCTTTTTTTTTTTCTGTGTTGCACTTTTTTGGTGAAACATTTTACGGAATTTATTTCAATATAATTATGTTTCTGCTTGAAAGTTTATTGAGATATTTTCATAATTAAATAAACTTGGGTGAGAACTATAAAAATTAGAATTATAATGAGAATGAAATGATTCACACGCGTTTGTTTCCTACTTCATTAGGGTCTAAAAATGGAAGCCAAAAAAATAATTTAAGAAAATTGCATATTTCTGAGTTTTTGATCCGATATTCTGTGACTAAGCCCAAATTTCGAATTTTACGACACCACGATTGGCACAAATGCAATCTACATCCTATAATTTTTATATTCGGCCACATTATTGAACAAGCGTTATGAATTGCCTGTTCAAAATCAACAATGACTATTGAAGGTTTAAACATCACATCCAAAGTTTTACATTTTTCATTTAACAGTTGAAATAATTTTGAATAACTTGAGCTGTTCTTGTTTGGTAACAAGCAAAATGCAACAGGTATATAATAGCCATTTTTGAAAGCATGAACAGTAAATAATTGTAGAAAAAATTTAGTACAAAAAAGTGTCACATCGCAATTTGGTATCAATGCGCGAACCGTGTCATTTTTTGACGTTTGTATGGAAACTAAATTAACTAGATATTTATGGAGGATAAATATGCTTACTAGAACGTTTGAACGTTACTGAATAAATTTTATTAAATCGATTAGAAAATAAAATGTTAACCTGGTCGAACTGCAGGGTGGGCTTAACTCGACCTTTTTCAAAAAAGGTTTAATGCAGGTACTCGTGGTCCAACTGACCGGTCCCCCTCTTATTGAAGAAAATGAATCTCCCATATACACAAAATGTTCCTTCACCAAAATTTCAAATGTTCGTTTTTAATCACTTGAATAACTTTATAATGCATTTATGTATCCAGAGACACAGCAGTGTCTTGCACCAAGTAGTCGTATAAATATATACATCCAGAGACTGGTGATTTTGATCCACTTCAAAACGTCGAATTAAATTGAAACACCGCACACTTATTAAACATAATTTGAAAGTTTTGTTCCATAATCCTGATCAGGATTTTCAGGATGGGTGATTTTTTTCATCGAATAATATGGTGAAAGATGTTCCGCCACCAAAATTTAGAAATGTTCCTTCACCAAAATTCAAATGTTCGTTTCTATTCCTTCGAATAGACACGGCAGTTTCTTACACCAAGTACTAGTATAAATAGTTACATCCAGAGGTATTCGATATCGAATTTATGTTTGTCTATTGGCTTATTGGCCTATATTAGGATGTGATCATATTCACTAACCATCATAAATCTGATATTAATGCAATATCTTTCTCCAAGATTGATTCGATATTGGAAATACAATATCAGCCCATCATGAAAATTGACATATTTTTCTCTTTAATATTTCGCCAATATCAAATAAATATTTGCAAATTGATATCGGCTGGTCAAAACATTTTAATGTTATTACAACATTGGCACTGGATTGATTATTGGATATCAAAGAGCCAATATCAGTGCGATATTGCTGGACAATGAAATGCAATATTCACTAACTATCATAAATCGGATATTGATGCAATATTTTTTCCAAGATTGATTCGATGTTGGAAATACAATATCATCCCATCATGAACATTGACATATTGTAATCGTTAATATTTCACCAATATCAAATAAATATTGGCAAATTGATATCGGCTGGTCACAAAATTTTAATGTTACCACAACATTGGCACTGGATTGATGATCAAATATTGAAATGAACAATTGGTTAGATATTGGGACAATCTAGTATTTCCAGATTCAATACTCGAATATTGGGCTAATGTGAGAACAAGTTCTAGCCAATATGATGTTCTACCTGGGCTGATCAGGATTTTCAGGATGATCGATGTTTTTTTCCCGATTAAAATGGTGCCACCAAAACTTTCGAGATGTTCCTTCACTGAAATTTAAAAATGTTCGTTTCCATTCTCTCCAATAACTTCACAACGATTTTTTATATTCAGAGACACGGCAGTGTCTTACACCAAGTACTCGTATGAATAGTTGCATCCAGAGACTGGTACTTTTGACCCACTTCTAAACGTCCAATAGAATTGAAACTCTGAACACTTATCAAGCATAATTTAATTATTTTGTTGCATTATCCTGATCAGGATATTCAGGATGAGCGATTGTTTTTCTCCAATAAAATGGTGAATGATGTTCCGCCACCAGAAGTTCGAAATGTTCCTTCGCCAAAATTAAAAGTTCGAAATGTTCCTTCACCAAAATTTTAAATGTTCGTTATTATTCCTTCGAATGCTTTTTTATCCAGAGACACGAGTGATAGTTTTGTTCCATTAAGGTTAAAAATATCCAATACCTACCTTCTCCCCGTATCCTCCCTAAGTACCCACAATGTTCCTCCAACATAATGAGAATACCTATTCGTGCTCTTCAAAAGATGAAAAAATAATAAAATCTGCACTAGTTAAAAACGAGAGGTTTCTTTTTCAGGAATGAAGTTGAATGAAGGTTGGGTAGCTGTGAGTTTGGGGACAAGCGATACCGTACTGTTATGGTTGACAGAACCACTAATTGTGGTCGATGGACATGTCCTGTGCAATCCTGTCGACAAAGACGCATACATGGCATTGCTTTGGTGAGTATCTCCTTTGGAATATACAGAGTGTTCGCGAAATCAAGACAAACAATCCAACATGATGTATAACTGATTAGAAACTGTAATTTCACGAAAAGTCCTGGTATACAATAATATACAGGGTGTCCCGAAATTAGCCTGCCAAACTTCACCAGCAGCTGCTCCGACAAAAAATTGGAAGAAAAGTTTCAATGAACATGACTCGAGAAATGTCTCCTGGAAGAGCTACGGCCCCCTGAAAGGGGGATCCTGAAGATGAAGGTCCGTTCAAAGTTATTCGTCGCTCGGAAAAAACAATCTATATAGATAAGAATGGTGCTGAATCACCAGTATCAATAGATAGAACTAAACCAGCATATTTAGACAACGACATTTCTGAAAATTCTCGTCCATCAAAAAAAGTATCTTTTGTTATTAATTTATTGGAGGAGGGAGAGTAATGTAGTGCACTAATGTAACCTGCACTTACTGTATGTGAATTCATGGTTTCCATGTGGATGTTTTTGTTAAAAAAAAATTTTTGAGAGCTTGTCATATTTTTAATATTGAGTAATCAAATATATGTCATTTCAATCTAACTTTATAATTTTATTACTGAATAATTCGACATAAGCACGAGCAATACATGAAACAACACTAAATTTTGAATATTTCCGGAACGCCATGTGATAAAATGATGCAATTTGGTACAAGAACTAAACTTTCCATGCCAATTGCGGTGAACATAAAATCATTTCAGAGTCTCATTCAGGAGTGTATAATACACGTTGGGACTACATTGAATATTGCTCAAACTTTTTCGTATGCATAGTTTTTGATAATTTAATCTCAGATTATGAAAACTCACACCGATTTCATTGTCACTGCATTGGGCATGGAAATTCTAGTTCTTGTACCAAATTGTATCTTTTTTTCACATGGTGTTTCGAAAATACTCAAGAAACATTGAGAATAGAATAGAATTTATTTAGTATTAGGGACAGAACATTACATTATGTTTAATACAAGTCAAATACATACAGTAGAATACAAATAATGATAAAAATCAAGAAGTCTTTGAGAGATGTACATAATTTCCTTATCTTCCCTTATTGTGACAAAGGGATATAATTGCTTCATTGATATCCCTTATTTTATAAGGTTCTATTGTGACTAATATTGATTTTATGGTTTTTTGAAACTAGTGAAGGTTTTGATTTGTTTGCTATCGTTTGGGAGCATATTATAGAACCGTAAGCACTGATAATAACAACCTTTCTCAAAAAGGGATGTCTTATGTAGTGGAAATGAAAATGTTTCTTTCCGTCTCATATTGTGAGAATGATTATGTAAGGAATCATTGAATATATGATTGTTTTTGTATACAAAATTGACACATTCAAGGATTTATGCACCAGGCAATGTCAAGAGATTGAGTTTTTTAAAATAGTCACGACAAGATTCTGATTCTGATTCTCGACTCATGTTCATTGGAAGTTTCCTTTCTATTTTTGGTAGTAAAATCCACTGGTGAAGTTTGGCAGGCTAATTTTGGGACACCCTGTATAATATAATGATAATGGAATAATTGAATAATTGGTCAGTTGACTGTCTTCACCATATAATGGTCCATTAATTTTAAATTGAAGTGAAATTCTTTTAGTACTGATTCAACAACCCGTCAAGCTGCGGAAATGCCATCTTGTAGAATATTCTCGGGAATATTTATGAAATATTGTTCTCAGAATGTTGCGAATATTCATAGAATGTTACATGCAAATATCCTGATGATATTATGAAAGTGCATTCCTAGGAAAGCCTTAGAAATGATATTCCATAATGTTCATGATATAATATTTTCAGAACATTATGAACATTCATACCATATCTCTCGAAAATATCATGATGATATTATGAAAATAAGTTCCTATGAGCTTCTGAAATGGAATATCCTGGAGAAACAACGTTCAAATATACTCATTTCAGCATTTTCTGATAGAAATGTTCTGAGAATGATCATCGAATATTTTCATGCTGCAACAAATATTCTATGAATAAACAATTTGACATATCCATATTCCATATTCATTTTGAATATTCTGAGATCATACAGAATCATATCAAAATATGAAATTGATGTTGTTCTTGTAACAGTACAATAGGTACTAATTATCCTAATATAAGTGTTGACTTCTTGCTATTCATATTATTCATCAATGAGGTTAGCTTAGCATTCCCTCCAAGTTTTGTAGATGACCTTCCTTCTCCTCTTGTATAATGATGAACACATTCTAATTACATCAGAAGATAATCATGAAAATCATCCATACCTCAAAGGAATCCAAAGTAATTTCAAAAGCAGAACAAACAAAACCGACTTTGTTCTGCTTGTTTTTGTTCTGATACATCAGAAGTATTTTTCTTACTGGTATAGGTATATGTTTGTATGCAAACCTATCAAATTTCAAGGAAATCAAGAGACCAATTTTTTTTTTGGAAAAAACTGTCTGTATTTTTTGTAATCAACCATTGTTTCAATAATAATGAAATAGCCTGTACTTGAAGCAGAGATAAAACTTTCAGTTTCACCATATAAATGGAAATCGATGAACTTATCAATATATATTCGTTTGTAATGTTCATATTGCTTTACAAAATTTCTCGTTTTATTTATAGTTTCAAAAATGGCTCCTTGCCAAGAGACAGACTGAAAAAAACGATCGCCAACGATTCTTGGGAAATTTTCAACGAATTGCTAGAAAGCACTCCCAGAGGAAATTTCGGAAACATCGGGCTATTTTACGATATCCAAGAAATAATACCTTTTCTTCAAGGTAAATATACGTATAAGCCTATAGATACTGGAAAAAAAACCAGGAACCAACAAAATCTCCAGAAATACCTTTGACTAGAAATCCATACATTGGACAAACACGGTAGAAAAGAGGAAACTGATTCAAAGAACACATTACATGATTAAAACCAAATTATGAAGATTTAGCCCAATATGACTAATAAGAATGTTGCTGGCTTAGAAGAGAGAGAATGTTCAAAGATTCTATTTTGAAATGTCTCAATAACATTGTAAGTTTCAACAGCATCAGCATGAAATTTTCTAGTTTCAGGTTTTCTGACATGAGATATACGAATTCGTAACGTATTTTGTGATTGCTAGTTAGTGGCTTTCTGTTACTCCGGTAAAATATATCTATTATATTCTTTTTAGAGCGTTTAAATAAAAGCTCTTTATCAAAAAGTTTTTTTCTACTTTTAATTTATTTCATTAAATAATGATAAAAAACTGGAAGCAGTGGAAGCCCGTTCAATTTCACATGGAAATTGTACTCTATTTCAAATTGTCTAGCTCTAAACGGTATTTGCGATTTTCGCTCTTGAAGAAGTTGGTGTCTCACTTATAGCATGTGACTGTGGAAAAAAGGCAGTAATCAATAATGAAGATGACCAACAACAAACAAAATTTCAAAGTACATTTTCGACCGACGTTATATGGAGAAATTAAAAATGAAATTTTTCGCTTCACTATATGCAGTCCAGAGATTGTCCATTATTAATGAATCACCCTGTATACAGATTGTTTGACCAATCGTTACACATAGGGCTTGTAAGTGGCAACATAGCAAGAGAGACTGATTCGGCTATCGTACGTCTGACCACCATAGTGAACTGCCATGTTGTCAGAATGATATTTTGAGTTATCAATTAAATAACACCCTGTATATATAAAGATTCGATAAACAATCTGAGTATATCACTATTTTGTTGACAATGTTAGCTTTTTCCAGATTCTGTCTGAAATTTCGGGATTTTCCTGATTGAGGACTTTTGAATCTAGTGGTCAATATTGTTTAGTCGTTTGTGATATATTTTTAAGTGTCCGCATTTCAATTTTTCAGGCGAATATAGATATAACAAAGCAGGCAAAGTCTGCAAATTCACCAGCTTGGAAGTTGAGGTGAGAGCTTTGATTGAAGGGCAGTGCTTGAGGAACAGGGTGTATGCAGAGGATTTCGGATTCAAAATCGGTGAGAAACTTATTATACAGTGAGGACCAAAAGTCATTCGGTTGCCCCCACGTTACTATTTCATTAAAGATATTACAAGAAAATTTGAATACAGTTGTAGAGTTTGCTTTGACCTATTCAATGGTCAATGGTTTTTTCATGCAGTGTCTCAAGAACGCGCAGGAATTTATATCATATTGCATAATTAGATTCTTCGTTAAATTTTGAACAAGCTTGATGATTTTTTTTATTCACAATAGTAAATAGTTTTGGAATTATGAACACTCGTATTTATTATCCGCTGTGAACATTGAATAATGCCTTTGAATGAAGTCATTTTGAACTCAATGAAATAGTTATTTATTATACAAGGGAAAAGAGCAGTAGATTTTTCCAGTGTATAATACACTATTTTTTCTGTGACAGAAGAAAGGACGAATCAATATTGAGAAGATATTACATTATTTTGAAATCTGAAAATGATCGACGTGAAATTTCAACTTTTCAGCAGTAGGGACACCTGCGTTGTAGGCTTATCATTCTTTTGAAGTAATCAAATATCTGATGTTACTTCTGTCAGTCTAATTCTGTGTTTTGATTTCAAAAAATTGAGAATTTAGTGGTTGTTTAGTAATATATGTAATCGCAAAGTCGAATGGAAGATTAAAGGACTTGCAGTTCTTTCTCGGAGACGGTATTATTGACTCATTTTTCGGAACTATAGCACAACAAAAGTCATCAACAGTGTATATATATGTGATATATATCCGGGAAAAAAGTACTCACTTTTTTCCCACGGAAAAAAGTAATTAATGAAAAGTGACATTTTATAACCTGCCAACAGAGATGAAATGCCAAACTTTTTTCCCGTCACAGCAAAAATACATTATCAATAGGGAATCCCTATTATGATCGGAGAACATCGTGCGTACCCAATGAACCCAATGTAAACAATTGGAAGATATCCTCTGTGAACGACGAGTGAGGCAAAAATATTGTTCAGGCAACCCGCAGTGGTTACGGATACCTATCGATATCCCCTGTATACACATTTTTAAATCAGTGTCATTTTCGGAACTCCAAATACGTCTACTGTGCGGTTTAGACGATATATCTTTTAAGAAAATACGTGTTTTTTTCAGATAAAAATACCAAAATTCTTGCCACTGGGGGAGCTTCCAAAAATAAAGCAATTCTGCAAGTTTTGGCTGATGTTTTCAACGCTCCTGTATACGTCCAGGTAATTTGTCCGAAATAATTCTGTTTGTGTAATTTTGTGTCAGATAAATCGAGAGAAAACTGCAATTATCATTGATATACAGGGTGGGTCTTGGTCGATGGTACCCTCCAGACGTTTACCGAGAACAGGACATAAGATCATTATGAAAATTTGAGAACTCTTGCTTAATCGATCTGAAATATACCCAGCAATGCAGCGTTGCCGCTTATACCGGCTAGTAGTATCAACTTTGATATTTCAAATGGAACACCCTATATTTCATTGTATTCTTAGATTTTCTCAGAAGAGCTGATTTCATTAATGAATGATAATAAGAGTGAGATATTTCAACTTTGGGATTTTTTGTTTCGAAACTATTCATTATCGGTCGAAACGGTTCTCATATCCCTATTTTAACTTTAGATTTACAATGTACTGATATTCTGATCACCCTGTATCTGTTCCAATTAAATGTCGTAGTAGGTCGTAACTATAGGAATAATCCTATGTTCCGTACTTCCTAAACGTCTAGGGATCCATATCGACCGACACCCACCCTGTATATCTTGTTCAGAAAATTCAGATTGACTATAGTGATATCGTTACAATCCATACAATTCTAAAATGAAATATTGTTGTGTAGTTTTTGGATTAGGAAGATCATTTGCAAATGATTATTCTGTTTTGCGTTGAAATTTTGGGAATATAAAATTGATGATTTAATTAGGGCTGACATTCAGTTGACGTTAGGGCGTTACTAAAACGTGAGGTCAATGTCAAAGTCGAAAATCCAAAAATTTTGCTGGATAGCCCTAAAGGCTGTGCTCTGTTTTATCTAAAATATATTCGGAAAAAACTATATTTCAACAAACAGATATCCTCAAGTTATGGAAATACTTGAGCAAACTTCCTTTGTTTTTACTCTCAATGTGGAATTTTATGACCAATTGTTACATTGGCGGAGAAGAAGATATCAAAAGAGGCCAAATGACACGAAAGAAAAAGTTTCAGTTTCATTATTCCTATTTTATCTAGGTTATTTCTGTAGTAGGCACCTATATATTTTTCACAGCTGTATACCACAAAATTTTGATTGGATGTTGAAAAATGTGACAATTGTTTGGAATACTAATAATATATGTTGATGAACACTTGATAATTTCAGGAAGGCCATTTTCTGTGAATTCACAATAGTAGTTTACCTATAACAGGTGCGGAAAGTGATGCTTTTCCGCACGCAATTGCAGATGAACGACGCCTGGCGGAGTTCGGCCAGCAATCGCGTGCAGGAAAATTGCTTTACGCACGTGTTAGGTACACTATCAACTACGAAATAGCCAAAATGCTCAAAGTAGAATGAAATGTTAAAAGAAATGAACAAAAATGGTAGATTTCGGGAGAAAAACAACTACTTTCCTGGCGAATGCCACGCAAAACATTGAATTTCATCGAAATCAATAGGCATTTAGGAAAGAATCACTTGCATCAGTATTCGTTTATACGAGTCGATGCATAGATTTCGGGAGGATGTAATTTAATGTTCTGCGTGGCATAAGCCAGGAAAGTAGTTGTTTTTCTCCCGAAATCTACCATTGTTGTTCATTTTATGAACATTGTGTTGAAATGACTTTGATCTTTCTGTATTTATTTAGGTACAGTTTTCTACTAGCGTGCGAAAAAATAAACCAAAGTCAACTTAGAGAAACATTTATTATCATTATTAAATATTCAAATGTCAATATACTTCCCAAAAACTAAATAAATATAATTTTCCGCACTAGTGCGGAAATAGTATTCTACCATATAGATTATATATACTCAAAGATATTACATAACTAGTGTGGAAAGTGACACTTTTCGCGTAAGTGGACGTTTTAGCACGAGCCACGGAGCGACGCGTGCGAAAATGAAACGAACGCAGGAAATGCACTTTTCAACGAGTTTTATACACCATTTTTCCTATGATCACAAATATTTCAATTATATGCACCATTAGTGCTTATGAGACTCGAGTAGGATTCACGTTTCTAATCATATTCGATCACATGCAGATTATATTATTATAATCATTATTATTATTATTATTATTATGATTATAGTCAACTTAACACCAACTTAACATCAACTTAACATTAAATCAATATTAACCCAACAATAAACTGATGTAAACATCTCAACATTGAAATTGCCATCAAGTTGACATTAATTTAACATTAACTCATCATCTATTGAACATCAACTCAACATTAACTTGAACTTAACCTAACCTTAACTCAAAATGAACTCAACAACAATTCAACATGAACTTACCATTAACCTAACATCAACTCAACATTAACCTAACATTACCTTAACATTACCTTGACATTAACTTAATATTAACTCAAAATTAACTTAATATCAACTCAAAATTGACTTAACATCAACTTAACATTATCTTAACATTGAATTAACATTAAGTTAACATTAACTCAACATCAACTCAACATCAACTCAACAGTAACTCAACATTAACTAAACATTACCTTAACATCAACTTAAGATTAACTCAACATCAGTTCATTATCATCTTGACATTAAAAACGTAACAGTAAAATACAATTGAATTACCATTATTCCAAATTTACATTAACGTTAACTCAACATTAAATTAACAATGACTTAACATTAGATCATTATCAACTTCACATTAATCTACCATCAATTTAACATTGAATCAACATTAATTCGACATTAACTGGAACTCATAACTTAACATTACCTCAAGATTACTTCAACATAAGCTCAGCATTAACTTGACATCAACTCAACAACAATAGCTCAACATCAACTGAATATCAAGTACTAACTATGAGTCTTTTAGTGTGAGATGAATCAGTGATATTAGGTATTGAAATATGATAATTCAGTATTATAATGATCCATAAATTATGTAGACTAAACAAAGACCACGTGAGCGTGTTACTTTCGCGTTGATATATGCTGTTTTCATTTGTGGTCCTACGAGAGTGTGCAAAGTAGTACTTTTCCGCACTCATTTGCGTGCACAAAGTAATACTTTTCCGGATATGGGTGTTATCCGCACGGAGTGCGGATAAGTAAAACTACCCAAAAATCTCACTGGTATGGAACATTAATATTCATTTTAGTTGCTGTAGACTATTGTATGCACTATGAGAAGCCGTTATCCCTGTTACTTTTCAACCATTCTTCCCGATATTTGTATTTCACCTCAATATAAATATTAGGAACAAATGATCTAATTTTTCATCATTATATTTTATTGATATGTAGGTAATTGTTTGTTGTTTAGCTATTTCTATCAAGTTTAACTAAAAATTATTAAATGAATTGTAATTTGAGTTGAATTTGTTTTTATTTTTGTTGTTATCTGATATGAAGCTCGTAGGAAAAACGTTGCTCCGAACACGTGCGCAAAGTGTCTTTTCCGCACGCAAAAACTCAATCGAACTCCGCTCCGCGTCGTTCGTCTAACTATATTTGCGAGCGGAAAAGTAACACTTTGCGCACTTGTCAGAAAAATAACTATTTTCGCACTATTGCGAAAAAGTAACTATTTCATCACTGAAATGAGTGCGGAAAAGTGGACATGTCAGCAGACTAGTAGAAAAAATAATAAGCTCATTTCATTTTGAAGGAAGCTGCGAATTCAGCCATGTTCGGCTCCGCCTACCAAGCCAAACACGGGCTGATGTACAAAGACACGAAGACATACATAGAAATCACCTCGACGTTGCCGGATCCTGAATTGATTTGTGTCCCATACAAAGATGCAGCCGAAATTTACGACCCCATGCTAGCAAGATACAAGACCATACTTCAAGAATTGACCAAAAATTAGGATATTTGATCTATGGTGCTTTTGGGCGCTCGTTGAATGTAGTTTTTGAAATTTGAATAGTAAAGTATTTACTTGAGATCTCGTTTCAATCGATAAATAATCATTTTACTTGATTTTTTGGGATTTTCCTCGGGATTTTCTCTCCTCGTTTCTATAAAATAAAAATATGCGTATTATTTCAATATATTTGTTGTGGGACAAATCAGATGATTTGCCCCAAAATGTCACTGCGTTTAACGAATTTTTCTATCAGGGAACCTTTAAGAAAAATCCAGTAGCTTGTCAATGACACTTCGTTTGAAAAAATGTTTGAAGAAAAGAAATATAGATATATTGAAAAATATTTTGCATTTTCATGTTGAGAACGGGAGCAGATTCGTTCCCGAAACGTCCAAGCAGATAACTAAATAAGTATTCGATATTTCCTCAATATATCTATATTTCTTTCCCTCAAACATTTTTTCAACCAAAGTGTCACTGGCAAGCTACTGGATTTTTCTCTTAGGCTCCCTGATAAAAATTCGTTAAACGCAATGATATTTTGGGGCAAATCATTTGATTTGTCCCACTACAAATATATTGAAATAAAACGCATATTTATATATTTTGAAGAAACGAGGGGAGAAAATTCCAAAAAATCAAGTAAAATGAATGTACTACGTCCTCCATTAACCTACAGACAGTATTTGATAAAGAGTCACTTCATTTTTAAGACTATACAGGGTCCCGCCGATTCAATAGGGACATTATTTTCTAAACGGGAAGAGAAAGGAAGTTGATTAAGTTAGACAAAAGTGTGTAATTTGAACCTCTTCAATAATAAGTTTTGCAATTTGAAAAAATGTCAGCCTCTCCCAAAATATTTTGAAAATACTGAGAATCACTGATTTCGTCTTCGTTCATTTTCTTGGTTAATATTAGAGGATGCAATTTGAAATTTTCTGTAAGCAGAAGATGTGAGTATCAGAAATATTCTTTCTTCATTATTTTCTGAGATATACCTTGAAACTTTTGTTCTTCTTATCGGCGCCATACTTGATTTTTATACCATTGAATAGAGCTAAAAATTCCCTTACAAAGAAATACTTACATAGAAATCACCTCGACGTTGCCGGATCCAGAATTGATTTGTTGAAATTTGGATAGTAATAAAGTATTTACTTCCCAGATGACGAATGATCACGTCACTGTGACGTCCCTTATTGGTGATTTTTCGTCAGAGACGTCACACACCAATTTATGACGTACTTTCTATGACGTGATAATCACGTCATCGTTTCGACGTCGAGTGAACGTCACTTAGGTGGGTAAAAGAAGACGTCAGTTTCATGACGTTGTATGGATGTCCTGTCGACGTCCATTTTTCCCAGACCTTCTCTAAACCATGAATACTTACATATTATCATGTGAAACAGAAGTATAACTCATGAAAGCGAATCAACATGCAAGTTTTATTCAAATTATTGATATACCCGAAAAGTAGTAGTATATAGTATATCTCGGAAACCAACAAGCTATGTATATATAAATGATTGTTTAGGTATACCTATATTGAAAGCGTTACTCTTATGACGTTGCAGTGACGTATCTATGACGTCTAAAAATCACGTCGGTGTGACGTACCAATTTGGTGAGCTTCGTCATTTAGGAAATTTTTCAATAATTTACTATCTTGATTTTTGTTGGGTGACATAGAATGCATCAATATACATTATTCAACAAAGTGAAGCCAAATTCGTTAACATCCTTTCCATTGCTATCAAACTATTCTTTGTTTGCTTACATCTCACCGACACAAACTACATAATTTTTTATACAAATACGAGTAACTGATTACATTCTGATGGAAATGCGTACTGAAGGATGGCGCTGCTGAATAGGCGAATCAATGAACATGACACAGGAGGGACCTACCAAGCAGACTCAACAATGCATAATCAATATTATATAATGTCATCAGAGGCTAGTGGTGTTTATCACACCATGTTGTAGGAATCTTTTTTACGTATCATCGCCAAATTCAATCGTCATTATGACGTCAGTTGGACGTCACAGTTTGGTGAGTGAATGACGTCAATACGTCATGAGTAACATGACGTCATTGTACTGTGACTTATTCACGTCATCATCACGTCAATGCGACGTCAACTACTGACGTCACCTTGGTCATTCAAGTGACGTAAAAAAAACGTCACTGGAACGTTATCTGGTTGCCTGGGTTGGTAGAAAGTGACTTTATTGCCAAGATGATAAAAATGTCCTCTTGTCCCAGGCACATATTTTTTATTCTATCTTATCTAAGGCCTTCGACTGTGTCTCTCTTGACATCCTCATTGACAAACTCAGCTACTATGGAATTAGAGGTGTAACTCTCACCCTCATTGAATCACATGAAACGAATCATTTTCAAGCTGTTTATTTCAATAACAAACTATCTGAATTCAGAGAAATCAGATTTGGTGTTCCCCAAGGCTCTCTTTTGGGCCCTCTACAGTTTATAATTTACATCAATTACCTATGTCCATATATGACTCCATACGATAGTAGATGACACAATATTGATTTATTCTCAAGAAGTATATATGACTCCCCTAAATTCTCTATCTGATGACGAAGTAGAGGAAAAAGCCGAACTCTGGTTTATCGCGAACAAACTGAAACTAAATAACGAAAAACCACAGAAACTCTTTATCACTACTACCACGTCCTTGCAAGAAGAGGGGGAAGTAAAACTATTGGATCTTACTCTAGGCGATAAGCTCAATGGGCGTGTACACCTTAGTAGAACTTTTAACTCAAACCATGTTTATAATGATCCTTTTTATAAATAATGATTGACGATATAATTCGAACGAAAAATTTACTGGAATGTTTTACTTTTGGACATAAATAATAGTACCTTCTGAAAACGGACCCTCTTATGACGTAGAAACCTCATCTCGCCGTAGTTAGAAGAGAATACCAAACGCCCGACGGAGACTGAGGCAACTGATATATTGATTCTTTCAACTGTGATCTCGCGCTAATTCACTCTGTCAGAAATCATGTATCATTCATCTCTGTCTGGAATAGTCTTGTTTCAGTACTAGGGTTTTGACGTCACATCATCGCCTCGTTTTCAGAGGTCCGAAAAATCGGGGATTTCAATAATTTTTTATTAATCGTAGGGAGCTCACAGCAAGAAACGGTTTGCGGTGGTGAGCTAGTTTGGGTGAGCTCTATCGAATTATGAAATAAATTTTTTTGTAATATAAGCCCATCATAAATATGAAACTATCTAGCTCACTTTTCAATTTGCGACAACTCAGACGCATCACTAACCCTATATTGAATATGATCTCATTGCTTCTGAACTCTCTCAATCAACGAATTAAATTGTGAGTTTGGTGTTTTCACGATTCAGAAAGCACTAAAAAAGAAGTATGTGATGGCCTTCTAGGTCTCCGAACAGTATTAGACTATTATCCATGGAGACATATGAAGCGATTGGTATATCAGACTGAATTCAACACCAGAGAGGAACTGAGGGAGAGGATAGTTACAGATTCAGATATGATCATAAATAATGGGCAAATTATTCTAAGAACCATGAGAGGTTTCCTGAAGAGATGCAGATAATGTGAAGGAATTGGAGAAGAATATATCGAAAATCTTCGTTGAACATTGTTAAGGTATATGCAAAGTTTTTTCGAAAATTATGATTGCTTTCTTGTTTTTTTCGGAAATCAAGCCCGGTCCTGAAATTTTTATTGAAAAAAACTTGTTCTCAACTCTGCTGGTATTTCAATATGCAAAAAAAAATTATTCCAATACCTCAAGTCGAATGTAGAGAGTAACGGACGAAATCGAAGAAGAATTCATCAGTATTTTGTTTGAACTTTTTTACCCAATCGGTCGAAGTGTGTCGTACAAATTGAGAAGCTGCACTTGTAGTGTTTTTCCTGATCTTTCAAGTTAGGTCAAGTCAAAATTATGACATTTATAAAGAAAATGAATTTCCCAAGTCCATCTCTGGATTTTTTCCCATAGTAGGCCATCTTATGGAGTGTTAGTAGAGGTAAGTTGCTGATCATTTTCAGACGATAACATCGAGATGTTCGTGTAATGAATAATTTCGGCAGAAGTAGACGTGGACCAGTCACCATATGCTCGGATAGCAAAGCTGCTATTATGGCATTAAGATCCAATAGAATCACAACTAAATTGGTGTCCGAGTGTAGAAGTGCCTTAGAAAATATGGCAAAAACTAGGAAAGTCAGCCTCATGTGGGTTCCAGGACACTTTGATATCCCGGGGAACGAGGAGGCAGACAGACTATAGCCAAGATCGGTTCATGAACGACACCCATTGGACCAGAACCAATAGTGCGGCTATATGTCCTTCATGAAGAAAATGCTGCAGTGGCAGTTTCTTGAAACATGTCGGAAAACACCAGGAATGAGACAATCAAAACTCCATATAAAGGAACCATCAAAAACGCTCACGAGAGAGATTCTGTCACTTAATAGAAGGGATCTCAAGATGGTAGTTGGGCTCTTAACTGGGCACAACCACCTCAACAGGCACCTAGAACTCATAGGGATCAAAGATGATCCCATCTGCAGATGGTGCTTGGAGGATGATGAAACATCATCACACATACTCACTGAATGCCCCGCGCTGGTGCATCAAAGGTAAGCTGCCTTTGGGAGCATTGTACTGCACCCAAAGGATGTGAAAGCGACTCAGCTGAGGAAGCTGCTGAATTTCGTCAAAGAAATCGGCATGCAAAGCTGATTCACAGGACAAGTGGGCGCACAATGGGCACAATGGAACGACTGAAGAGGCCTGAGTGCAGGGTCTACGCACCAGCCCACCTGTGCAGAGGAGAAGAAGAAGAAGAAGAAGATCTTTCAAGTTAGGTCAAGTCAAAATTATGACATTTGAAATAGTATATTACATAACAAGAGTTGTAAAACGCATATTACGCACGAAGTGGAGAGAGTTACACACGATGCCGCATAGCGGCGAGTGTGTAACTCCACAAGTGCGTAATTGCTTTACAACTCGAGAATTGTACTATACTTTTTCTACGACTA